ATCTTCAAAACCAAAACTTACAGCCTTATGTGGGCCAAAGGACACTTGGGAGGGCTGCTCTTCTGCCATACAGGACAGTGTAACGTTCTCAACTGTCACATTGCACACATAGCGCGCGCGCCACTAGAGGGCACTAGAAAATGACACAAAACCAACTTGTTTCGAAATTTGTAACTTACTAACCACAACAACCACATTATTATACATATATTGATATATGCTGTAGTTCTTGGTTATAAGTGTTTGTTAATGACAATGATTACTGTATTAACAAATGTGTGCAATTTATTTTCATGTTTTAAATTGAAATAATTGTTTCCTGATCGTAAATCTACCATTTATTTTTTGCGTAATGTTAATATTGACTCCTTTCAAAAAAGCCTGGATATGTTGGAGTTCTTTTCTCTCTCCCCTTTTTCCATTTGCTTTCAACAAGTTTTGCCTCATCCATCGCAACGTCCTTAATGCTTCAATATGCCGTGCTTTGCATAGATCATAGCCACAGCTCATGCAAATCAAACACCCCTTCTTCTATTTAAACAAAGCCTCACGGGTGCTGATAAACGCACAGCCAGGGCTGCGCTGCTGAAGCCAGTGTGGCCACTATTCCGTTTTACGGACGTCTGACGGGCAGCAGCCTACACGCGTAAACGGAGACGAGGCCGGATTAGTCCAGCACTTAGATGCATATAGTCAGTGATGGGCAAGCTTTGATTTGTGAAGTGAATGTCTACTGTAATTATTAAGAAACAAAAGTGAGAAAAATTGATGGCAATGAGCCATCACAAATGAACTGGTTAGCATGAGTTATCTAATGGTTCCACTTCAGTATCCCACCTCTTATCTACTTTTTTTGTTTTCCTAGCTGATTAAAGCATAATTGCACTCTGCAAAATGGAAACACTAAATTCATTAACCTGAATCTGCTTGTGTGTGTATGTGCATGGTGTATTTGTAAGGCCAATGCATGCGCTTGTACTCAAGGCATGTTGTCGTAGACACAAAAACATCGAGTCTAAACGCAGTTATGTACAAACATCAGAAACGTCCAGGAGAAATTATTTGCTTTGTAAAAAGCGACGTTACTCTTAGCTACAGAAAAAATTTAGTTACAGTAAGCTAGTAGTGTCGCATACTAGCTTAACTATACTTTCTTATTCTATAGGATAAACATTTTGTGGGGAAATTTAGGCTATATCCACACGAAGACAAAACGCTTATAATTTCAGAAACTTTTTCTGTAAACACGGAGTTAGCTCAGTAAATGTGTGCGTCCATATGAATGTAGTCAATACGCCTGAAAACGCTGTGAAACTATGCCAGACCTGTTGGTGGCGCTGTGACGCAATGACGGGATCAAGCCCAAACTTCCGTGGGCATGCGCAGAATTTTGTAAACAGACAACATGGCGAGTGGGCGAGCTGGTACTACATTAGTATGGACGGACGATGAGGTTGAACTGTTGCTTCGGGTCACACTGGATTACAAAACCAACAAGCTACATTGTTGTTGTCATTATTTTCTGAGTGCGGCGCATGCGTGCTTTAACAAGAGGCGGGGCGATGACGCAAGCGTCTCAGATACATTGCGGAGAGGCAGTAACCACGGAGCGGCATATACGGAGTTTTGAAATCTTTCCACTCTGGGACCTACTTTCAAAAATGTTCGTTTACACCCCCCCAAAACGCCGGCCTCGTATGGACGATACACTGGATTGATAAAGTATTTTTGCGTTTAGGCCTGAGCTTGACTTCGTGTGGACAGGGCCTTATAGTCCCTTGCCACACATGTTTCATTGTTTTGTTTTGTTACTTGCGGCAAAAGCAAGAAACATGGTACGTTTAATTGCACTGCAGAAATTAAATGACTAAGCCTCGAGTTCTGAGCCTCTGTTAAATTTAAATACTCAAGGTAAAAAAAGACGTTACCTTATATATAAAAGCAATTTTGTTTACAATTACTGTTCCAAAGTTTGAGTGCTGAGGCAAAAGTACGAGACGCCTTTGAAAGCACCACGAGTTATCATCTGAACAACAGGGCACAGACAGGGACCGGAGAGGTCAGACCAGTTTGGAATTAAACACTGAATAGAGTTGCTTTTTTTGGTGTCCTATAGACAAAGAATACAGGTGTTCAGATCTTATTACGGCAAACAAATAATCAATTAATATGCATTTGCATGGCTCCGTCTGATTGCAATCTATATAAAAATGTCTTATTAGGTGATATCAAAGTGTCCTCCAATATAACCCGACCTCAATCTACCCTGAGGTATGCAAACAAACTACAGGCTGGCTCTACAGGCAGCCTTTTCCACTGGTTGAACTTCAGAGGGACTACGTTGCCTCGTCTGTCACCCGTGTGTATGCTCAGAGAAGCGCGGGAACCCGGGGAGTGATTGATAGAGCGAGCTCCATGATGTGCAGATCACCTAGTGGGCTCCGCCAGCCGCTTTACTGCTGCCAGTGTCCCAGAAACCCAGGCATATGCGCCATGCGCCAGACACAGACACAGACACAGACACAGACACACAGACACACAGACACACAGACACACAGACACACAGACACACACACACACACACACACACGTAGGCAAGAAGGAGCATAAGTGTCAGCTGGTTCACCTTATCACATATGCACTGTTGCCGTGGAGACATACACAATTAAGTGAATATTATGTGTTTTTCACAGCATTCATAACACCAGGGACTTCTTTATTAATTAGTTACTTAACTTTTGTAACATATATGCAAATACATAGTTTTTCATCATAATATTGAAAAATGAGAATGCATTTGAGTAAGAAGTTGCTGTATGGCCTTGTGTGTTAGCAGAATGATTAAATTAACAAGCACAGTTACAATCTCTTCCATACTTTAACAATTTGTTGTTATTTCTGTGGCTTTTAGCACCACTTAAGCCATAAATCCATTATAGTAGATTTAGGCTTTAACATTATTGAAAACAATGTCAAAGTTAACATTGTTTTCAATAATTCAAATTACCTAAACATACTCTATGTGTCTCCTATATAATAGGTCAACAAGTACAACATTTGGATTTATCTATAAAATTGTATTTACGAAACAAACTAAACATCATGCATTTACTCAAATGAAAGCAGATGCAAAAATAGTCATATGTAGAACACAGAGTTTGTACTGTCTTTGTGCCATATTCAGTGCATATGAGATAAAGGCAGTAAGGGTAGAATTGTAATTGTTGTGACTTTACAAACCCAGTCCCTTTCACTGTTGACTTTACTCTCAGCATCATTTCAGAACTACCAACAAGGGCGTACTGTTGCATTATGTTTTTGTTGCCTAATCTCTGGTTGTTCTCAGTTAGAAGATTTGATCTATTCTGAAATGTAAAAATGTTAGACGGGCCACCTGCAGCCGATACCGATGTTCCTGCTGTGCACGCTGTGAGGCTCCGTTCTGCTACGCCGCACAATATAAAGCTCCACATTTATTTCCCTGAAGACGAATGATTGTTTTTAACATGAACAGAAGATGGCTGATGCGTTCTGTTACATATGGATGTTTTTGCCTTCTTCAACAGCAATATCATAGTTTATTAAAAGTCTGGATCCATGACCTCAACGCCCTTACCGTTGTTACTGCGCAGAGAGACTTCTAATGTATCATTCTTTTCATCAGAGAATTGCAGAATAGAGCTGAAGTGAAACAATTATCACCAGAAAAGGAAATGTATGAAATGATATCATGTCACAAAAGGCTATTATTTTGTAGTCGTCTTAAGCCTGACAGTGTGTCTAATGTTCACGATGTATATACAGCTAATAAAATGACTCCCACTACACTTTTATATAACGTTTTTTTTAAATCTTCTAATCAATTTTAATTAAGGTAACACAAGAAGGCCTACAGTGATTGTGGTGATGAGCGTACTCCCCACTTTTCCTGTCATGAAGCGCATCATAAAGTAGAGCCACATCAAAAGAAATAGGAAGGGAGCAGAAGCAGCCAACGGACCAAAAAGTTGAGTTCAAAACGGGTCAGCAGCAGTTTCTCTATTCCCACATATATCTGGTGCGACTGTGCTTCAAAGGAACTTCAGATAAAACAATATCACCCATGCTGACATGAGGTTGGCGAGCACATGTCCATCCACCACTTCATAAACCCATCTTTGCACTTTATATGGTCCTAAAAACCAATCCATTGCTGTTAAATTGTTCGTGTAAAGCAGTCGTCGGCCAATCTCCTATCAACAGGGAGCCGTGTGTCCGCAGGGAACGCAGCAACACCTCATTAGAGGACTGAGCAGGACAGATCAGAGGCCAGTCAGCTCTGTGGATGGTAATGGGCCATTTTAGGATATAGTCAGGTGGAAATTGTGGGAGGTTGACAAAAAAATTAAACCAGGAAATCTGATATTCAAGTCCCAGATGGTAAATATTAACAGACATTGAACACAAGACATATTATGCATTATTGTCTCTTTTGACTGTGCCAGACCAGAGCAGAGATGAAAATTTGTATTGAAAAATGCTAATAAAGCATTCAGCATTTCACTCTGGAGCAGAGCAGAGACAATGGTCCGAACCAAGCAGACTCTGTCTACATCAACATCAGGATAGGAAGCAGCTCATCAGCAGCTGCTACACCACCTCTGCTGCTGTGACCTTTATTACTATTGTTAGTCACTTTTAGAATGATATCATCATTTGTTTTGTTTGTATTGATGGATGTGTTTCTGCTGCTGGACACCTGACTTTCTCCTACGGGGATCACTAAAGTATCTATCTATTTTTGCCCGTTTTCAAACATTTTTGAAGGGGCTCCAGGAGCCACTTGAGGGGCACTAAAGAGCCGCATGCAGCTCCAAAGCCGACCCATGAGCTAAATGCGTGACGCCGCATCCAGAGTTCACAGAAGTTCTAGATGGTTATATGCTCTGATGGCCCAAATACATGGTGTGTGCTATTGTGCCTCAATCACAGGTGAAGGAAAGCAGATATATGTGACAATCTCACTTACGCAGCTCCTTCACCTGCATCTAGGACAGAGCACGTACGCCAAAAATGTCATTTTTCAATACGTGTCCTTTAAAGTTTGTGTTCTGAGCTTTGGACCAGCTTTTCATAGCGGCATAGTGAACCCGGGGTGGATCATCAAAGTGCAATCAGACGGCTGATTTGGGCTTTTACTTTCAGTCTCAATTTGCCAGAAAGTACTGCTTGTAGAGTATAACACAAAATGTATGTTAAAAATAGTTGGGTACCCCATATTTCAGTAAATCTTCCCACTTGATTGACACGGTAGCAACAGGGCTATGTCAAATGTATGTACAGGAGACTGACAGGTGTAGAATCCCAATTTCAGAATTTAGAAAGCAGGACAGCAAGGCAGTGCAGTGACAGCGTGTTGAAAGAGCTGTAGGTTTCAAAAGGACGAGAGGGATAAAAGGATAGTGTGGCTGAGGAGGGATGAGTGACATAGTATCTAATTTGGTACGATTTTGACCAGACCTACAGAGTCTTCTAAATCATGGAAACCATCAAACACATTCCGTAAAACCTTTCAAGCATTTATCACCTGTCCAGAAAGTAAAATAGCAATGGGTCAAACAAACCAACCTGTAAATCTTTCAAAGACATGAAGTTTTAATGGGCAAAACAACCCAACTTGTTCTGGGGCTATTATTTGTTTGCCATTTGCGTCTCCAACACTGCAAACACAAACTGCTCACAGATAATGAGGGAATATAGTGAAAATTAACTATATCCAATCACTTTGAGCTTTGGAGCTTCAAAAGCTGTGACAGTGCCAGGGTTTTTTCATCATCACTAACAAGTTTTGCTTTTCAATTCGCCTCAATCATCACAAAAGTCACAGAGCCACTAATGAGCAAGAGACATTGTTCTGCACTTTGCATTTTCTGTCTTTGTGGCTGCGCCCGAGCCGACACTCACCTCCTTCTCTCCACAGATATTGCTGATGATGGAGTTGGAGGCTGGACTGGCAGAGGGGCCCAGGACCGCCACCACACCTTTGGACATGATCTGGCACACTGCAGAAGACACAGGACCAACAAACATGTTAAAAGGACACATTGACTCAACAAATACACTAACTCAGAAATCTCTACAGAGCTGATGGTTATGAAGGTAATGAATGTACATGCTGAGTGTTCAGGACTGATACGAGACGGAGCTAGTGATTCATGTGTCGCCAGGGGAAACTCATCCAGTGTTTGGTGGTCAATTGCACAAGGCCAAATGCATTTGTCTCTCAGTAATATGCATAATATATTACAGACAAAAGTTCTATGGCCCCGATAATGAAAGTTGGAAATAGCTTGAGGGAAGACAGTGACTGTAATAGATGTGGGCATATAGCGGCAGGAGTCACAAGTGAACGACAAACAGAAAATGGCACCAATAGTGAGAGACAATATCTTGAGGCCTAAAACTTAAAATCCATTTGAACGTTTGCACATGAACATACCCCAAATAGGCTCAGGCATCTCATCCTGTTTTCCCTGTTCAAACTTTACAAAGGCCAATTCAAAGCATTTCCTTAGGGAGTGGAATCCAAGTTTTAGTCTAAAAATTGAATTTCTTATGTCATGGTTTAGGTTTATTTCCTGTTTTATTTTGGAATGTGTTATCCCTGTGTCTTCTTTGGTTGTGCTTCCTGCTTGATGACCCGCCCTGCCCTCACGTGTATCACCTAAGTCTCGTCTTGTATTGAGCCCTGTGTGTTCCTTCACTCCCTGTTCCCTCATTGTCATTCCTCGTCTGTTTCAGTTCTTGTTCTCAGTCCCTGTGTTTTTGGATTTGTTTCATCTTTTTATTAAATCCATTATTTTTTTGCATATCTGCGTTTGAGTCCTTCCATCATTTCCACCTCGTGACAGAATGGACCAGCCAACGAGAGGACTCAGCGGAATGCCGTTTACCACACACCTGCTCCCTATTCATCACCACCTGTAAGACTTTTATTTTTTCGCCATCTCATCACTGCCAACCTCTCAACCCGTTACCTGGTACCACCGCCAGACAAGTCCCCCCCCGACTTGTTGAGAGGTCCAGTGACGTTCTGCTCTTGCCTGGATGGTTTCCGTCTGCCTGGATTTCCTCGCCTGTGTTTGCTGCTGCATTTCGATGACCTCTCCTACACTTCACCTGTTTCCACCGCCAGACATGGTTCTCCATCCGGGGTGGTTCTGTTCTGTCCTGTCCGAGTCACCGCCGGGCATTTGGGGGGGTGAGCCGGGGTGAGCCAGTTCCCTGCTGGAAGGTCACCGCTGGGCTTCAGCTTCTGCCCCTGGTTTGGACTCTGCATGGGACCTGAGATTTTCACAGCCTCTAAGCTGCCTCTGGTCCCTCCGCCGGACCCCCTCCACCCTCCCTGGCTTGCTTTTATATTTGGGACATCTGGGAGCTGTCCCTTGGAGGGGGGAGTACTGCCATGGTGTGGATTTTGTTTTTTTGTACTTTGGTTTTAAATTGACATGTTCTCTGTGGTTTGGTTTTTAGTTTGACTTCCTGTCCTGTTTCCCCTGTCTTGATTGTCTGCCCCGCCCTGATGTGTTTCACCTGTGTGTCTCTTTGTCTATGTACCCTGTGCTTCTCTCCCCTTGTTGCTGGTCCATTGTATTGTCTCAAGTTCTGTCCTGTTCCCTTTTGATTTGAGAGTTTTGAGATGTGTTTTCACCTTGGACTTAATTTTATTATTAAATCATTATTTTTGCATTTCTGCGTTGAGTTCTTCCCTGCATTTCCACCTCGTGACACATTATCCTTTGACTCTGCTTATAACGGAAAAAAATGTACCATGCCAGAACAGGGCAGCACACATTGGAAGAATATTTCTAAATAGATACAAACCTTAGAAGCTTTCAGTGAAGGAACAAGGGACGGTGTGTTTTGCCGACCAGTGTTCAATTTGGTATCTATGGATACCAAATTGAACACTGGACTGGTGGCATGGTAGTTGAGTGGGTAGAACGCGTGCTAAACAGCAAGAAGGTTGTGGGTACAATCCTATGTCACAGTAGGCCTTTGTGTGGAGAGTAGGCCCTCTGGGTGGGTTCCCTCTGGGCGCTCTGGTTTTGCCCACCAGCAAAATCCGGTGTTATTTATTTACCTTTATTTAACAGATTTCAGAATATTTTTCCGGGCCCCAGACAGACATACAGTAGGTAAAATCCTCCTGCTCCGGTTGTCCTGACTAAGCCGAGCATTGACATCTGGAAATGCTCCAGTGTCCTAGAGTTATAACGGAGGACAAATTTTCCTAATGGCATAATAAATTATACCTTACCCTTAGGACTATTTCTAATATTACTAAGACAATGTTTTGCTTGAAGTGGAAATGATTTGAAAAGCAAGGTTCTAGAGTACAAGGTTCTTTTGTGTATTTTTACCACCTCTGCAAGGTACATATGAAATCTCTACAGAGCTGATGGTTATGAAGGTAATGAATGTACATGCTGAGTGTTCAGGACTGATACGAGACGGAGCTAGTGATTCATGTGTCGCCAGGGGAAACTCATCCAGTGTTTGGTGGTCAATTGCACAAGGCCAAATGCATTTGTCTCTCAGTAATATGCATAATATATTACAGACAAAAGTTCTATGGCCCCGATGATGAAAGTTGAAAATAGCTTGAGGGAAGACAGTGACTGTAATAGATGTGGGCATATAGCGGCAGGAGTCACAAGTGAACGACAAACAGAAAATGGCACCGATAGTGAGAGACAATATCTTGAGGCCTAAAACATAAAATCCATTTGAACGTTTGCGCATGAATACCATAACATACTCAAAATAGGCTCAGGTATCTCATCCTGTTTTTCCTGTTCAAATTTTACAAAGGCCAATTCAAAGCATTTCCTTAGGGAGTGGAATCCAAGTTTTAGTCTAAAAATTCCTGCAAATTTTACTGCATTTGCGTAGAGGGAATAAACTTTAATCTGGCGTCTAATTAAACTTCTTCAGTCAATGACGTGAGGGCTCTTTGTGTGTTTGGACGGAGCATGCTTGTGTCATACTAATTTGCAGTTTGAGTATTGGAGCAAATCCAGTGTATTAACCCTCCACTTGTGTGAAAAAGCAAAGGGGATCCATTTTGTAGTCTGTGTGGTGAATCCAGAGGCAGTGAATCGAATGATTAATAAGTAATCCCTGCGTTTCCCATGGGGCCTGTCAGACAGAGCCACACTGACATCAAACACAAACATTTACAGTACATTTGCTCTGTTTACAAGACTTTAAACTTGAATGACTTGCTCCTGCCTCTGGATTTACTTTCTTCCCTTTGTGCGTGTTTCCCAATGTCGACAGTGTCCTTTAACCATCAAACAGGCAGTGCAGCCCGACTGAAACTATGGCCACAGGTCAAAGCAGCCATGGAGTTTGAACGCTCATGCTCAAGAAGAGGTTATAGGTGGCTCTGATATAATTATGAGTGTGATTACTGAGAGCAGAAAAGGGCTTGCCAATTTATGCTCATTTGGTGTGTGCGGAATATACAATAATGTCTTAGCATAGAGCGTCAATCAATTCATGGGAAGAAGCTTCACTAAATTTTGACGAGATAAGATTAATCGATTTATCAGAAATAATTGCTGACTATAGCACTAAGTGGAAGTAAATATTAGCTATTGAACAAGCTCCATAATGGCAACTTTGAATACAGTGATTGAGCACAATGACATTTCCTCTCTGCAGAGATGACAATGGACAAGGGATGAAATGTGGAATACTAAAACAAAACAAAATAACATTCTTTAGGGTGTGCCTGACCCGTTTTGATGCATTTTGTTTGTTTTCTATAATGTGTCTATCTGAAACAATCTCACAGTGCAATCATCTGATGCTGCCATACCATGCACAGTGGTGCCACACAGCATTCCAATCCAACAAAATATGTCAAAATGTTGAAACAAAAACAAAAGAAAACTTTTTTTTTTTTAAACACGCTATGAGCTTTATACAATAACTATATGCCCAGTCCTGGAGCTGTATGTCTGTAGTCCTGAAACTAGCTTTCATTTCCTTTGCGATCCAGTGGATTACTGGACAGACAGGATATTAAGAAATGGACATATGCCTCATAGATAATAGCTCTACACAAAGCAACCTGACCCCTGAGTGAGTATTATGTTCAATAAGGAGTTATAAGCAGATGATCACATCGCACTGTGACTGTTGCCACAGATCCATGAATAATGTTTTCTCTGTCCCTGCAATTGTACAACAAACTTTTGCAAACCAGTTACTCCCAGGCACATGGCAGCCAACACAGAGTCTCAAAGTGAAGTGTGTTTTGAAGTGTTTCCAGCAGAAACAGCCCACTGTCACTGTTGTAGTGAATCAAGATGCCAATGCTCTTATGAAATGCAGCGCAGACCAATGGTATTCAAACAGAAATCAATGTTCTCAACTCAAGACAAGATCGCCGTATAGCATGTTTCATAATAAATCCATAAAGTCATGTGCATGGAGCGGTAAGGAGTGGATACATATTTAATGATGTATACGCATTTTCAGTCACTTTTGACAAGAATCCACATGACACCGCAGATTGCCTGAAACTGAAAGCATTTTAACTCATCCACTTGACACATTAAATTGAACAGTGCCAATATCCGAGAACAAAATACTCATCCACCCATCCTGCAACTCCTGCAGCTATCAAAATATGACAGCTCAATTTTACGTCCCAGCACCAAACCACTCTGTGATCCTCCCTTATAATTCCTCCGTCAGGATTTCTCTATATACTTGGAAAGGAATGTGCCAGATACAATAAGGAAAGGCAAAAGCAACATGCCAAGACAGAAATCACAGAGCAGCATTTTGTTTTGGTGTAAAAGACACAGATGTGTCATGGAACATGACCAAGTAGCAAAGCTCTATCATCCTTTTTGCCTGCAGCCTGTTCTTGAGTATTTAACAACATTTTGATAATTGCAGTGGGGAAATTGTCTTGGCTGGTGTAGAACAATGTAAGTTCACAGACATTAGGATTAGTGGATTAACTTCCCCACACAGTTCTAAGGCTTGACACAAAATGACTTGAGTCTTCAGTATGAGATGTTTTGGGTTACTTACTGGTCTCCCCCATCTCGTATTCACTGTCTCGGAGCAGTTCAAAAATGTCCACCTCCAGTTTGCTGGTAGTGGAGCGGTTGCTGCTTCTGTTGATGCTGTCTTTGGCCAGAGTGATGGCCAGGCGTTCTCCTCTGCTGCACTCCATAGGGTCGTCCAGAATGGCAGCTGGAATGACATGAGTACAAACCTGTAATCAACTTTGATCAAAGAAATAAACTCACATGGCAACAGGTCATCACAACTCCCTATAATCTATGAGCCATGGGCACCAAGAATCCATTTGGGGGCCATTTCATATGGCCAATTCTAATGTGATATTTGAAGACTCATTATATCGCAATATGCCGATATTTTCGGCATATTTTACTCTGGCTGTATGCCTTTATTTTACCCCAGACCAGAAAGCCCACAAAACAATTGTACCTGGAGCTCTGTAGACACAACCATGAAAAGTTAAGGCATCAGGCTGACCAGTCATCCAGCCACTAGGTCTCTACACGGCCACAGAACACATTTTGAGCTTTCTCTGCGATATCCCAAACACTTCATGAAAATGTTATAAAATTCCACCTTTCTGTGTCCAATTATTGGCTGATTTATTGGGAATAATAAAACAATACAATAACATTCTCATGGACCAATACTCTTGATAACTGTGACAGCAGAACATAAATGTACTGTTTCATAACTACATATAACACTCCAAGTCATCTTCCAATCAAGCCCAAGATGGGCTCTGTATCTCTATAACAGCTCACCTGCTGGAACAGAAATAACATCCTGTTCTCCCAAACTGACAAATGCAGCCCGCGGAAATTCAATTTGGTAGACGTCAGCCAAAGTTACCCCCTCCAGGCCGGTTCACATCCCCAGCCTATCGCACAGCAAACGCCCCCTTCCAATCACCCGTACCGGCCAGGCAGCCGCTTAAAAGCGGAGAAACTCCCACTTCACGGCCTCTCGAAGCCTCGCAAGCTCCCGAAGCCTTGCAAAGAATCGTTCTGGAGGAATCGCTTTTGTCTACTCACGCTACTCGTGCGTGTCCCTGGTGTCCTCCGTCTTGCTGCGTTGTGGTCTGCTCCTCCTCCGCGTCCCTGCACCTGCTGTGGTTCGCGTGTCTCCACTGCTCTCCTCCTCTGCGGGCTCTTTCTGCGGGCTGCTCCGCGGGGCCCCTCCGCGGGTTCCGTGCTGCTCGTTCCTCGTGGTCTGCTGCCGCGCGCAGACGGTCTGGCGGTGCCGTGCGTGTCCCTGCCTCCGTCGGCGTGCCGCGTTGTCCCGTTGCTTTTCCCAAGTCTCCTGGCATGTGAGTACAGTGAGTGTGCCGACCGCGGACGGATTAATCCCGGAGTCTGGGCTGCAGGCTTGGTTTTTGCCCCGCGCACTTGACTGCAGGCGTCAGTTTCGCCCCGTGCTTGGTCTGCAGGCTTCGTTTTCACACGTGTTTGAGCTAACTGAGGGGCAATGCATACTAAATGGCACCAATCTCTATCGTCTGGGGATACAAGAGGCGCAATGTGCATTAATTCAGATTCATGTTCTGCCACTCGCAGCAAAACCACGTCGGAAAAATCTGCAAGACTACCCCATTGTGCTCCAGACGGCACACACCAGAGCTCTTGCCACGGCGCCATATTTACAGCATTAATCTCATTACTCGCAGGTCACTATTGTTAAATGATTGTATTAAATTCGTCTATCTGCGGGAGGAAGGAGGGGCATGCATTTAAATAGCTAGGTCACTGGTATTCAATTAGGTAACTAAACTGCAGTCGTTGCATTTGAAAGTGCAGCAGAAAGAAAAAGGGCCCAATGTGAATCTGCAATGGGTTTGAAGTGGAGTTGGAGCTAATGAACGCATGGAAAAGTGATCGTTCATGCGTTCTACCATAACCAAAGCAGCAAGATGGCTCCAGGGGACGTCTGTTATTCGCATGGGAATGTTTCGGATTCGGGTTGATTTATTTCCTCAGGCTGTTAAACAACCGTGGGCATGGTTCTCTGACCGCCGCTGCTGCCGGTCCCTGCTGCCGTAGCTACTGATGCCTGATCCCGCTGCTGCCTGTTCCTGCTGCCGCTCCTGCTGCTGCCTGTTCCTGCTGCCGCTCCTGCTGCTGCCCGTTCCTGCTGCTGCTCCTGCTTAGGGATGTAAATCGGTGACCGTTTAACCGGTGGTTGACCGTCACAGCGTTAACCGGTCAAAGCTGTCGGTTAAAAAAGAGAAAAGGGGGAGAGGGGAGGTCTCTTCATAACGCTATTTTAAGCCCTATTTGCACGATGTGACGAGCGGGTCCCTATCTAGCTGTGTGCGCCAATGTAACAGTAAACTCTGGGCCGACTCTCACGCCGTACGCGCCACATATGCACGCACACACACACACACATCTCCCCCCCCCCCCCCCCTCCATTGACACGTAACATCCACACGCATCATCTCTCCCCTGTGTTACCGTCTGCTAGTTGCACACTGGTGCGGGTCAGAACTACATTGGAGCTTATATTTACACACACATACGTACATGTATTGCACACACACACATAGCTTACATATACACACACACAGACATATACACACATACATACATGTATTGTACACACACACATACCGGTCTGTCGCGCTCCTCTGTGTCACGGAGCCCGAAGCATTGTTGCGAATACACGGCTCCAGTCAAACCACATGGACCATGTTTGTGCTGCTGGTCCTTGGCATCAGCTCCACACTGATCACTTTTAAACTTTAGCGGAGACCTGCGAGACGTGGCTCGTCACTCGCTGCCCTGACCATGTGGACGAGCTGTCTTTTGCTTAAAAATGCTTTAAGCCGCAGCACAGAATAATGGGAAGATTAAAACAGCAGTTCTCTGTGCGCAAAGGTGCCCAAGCTGTTGCGGGTTTTGGTGCCGCTGTCTCCGCTCTGATCCATTAGAATGCTCAGCTGCACATATGAAAAGTACGCGGCTCGAAATGGCTGTTATTTCAAAGAACGTGGACTATTTTAAACTACGCGGTTAACCGGTTTCAACCGGTTAATGAGGCTCGGTGGTCGGTCATGAAAATTCATAGTTTTTTACATCCCTACTCCTGCTGCTGTCTGTCCCCGTTGCCTGCTCCTGCTGCTCCTACTACTACATGTGCCGCTGCTGCTGTTCCTGCTGCCGCTCCGCAGGCTCCCAGGCTGCACCCGTCTCTACGGCTCGGCTCTTTCAGACACGTATGTAACCTGGCTCACGGAGACAAGCGGCGCACACTGGCGTGACACGTCTGTTGTTCGTATGAATCTCATTGTGGTGCTGCTGCTCCTGCTAATGCTGCTCTGCTGCTTCTACTGCTACTGCTGCTACTGCTGCCGTGCTGCTGCTGCTTCACGTACTTTGACATCTCTCTTCACTTCGCATCTCTTTTACTGAAACACTAAACAGCTACAACAATATTCTACTGCTGTGGCTTTGATACAGGATCATTGCTGTTATTATCTACGGATGCTGCAGCTGCTGCTGCTGCTGCTGCTTCTTACTGCTACTGCGCTGCTGCTGCTGCTTCATACTGCTACTGCTGCTACTGCTGCTGCTTCATACTGCTACTGCTGATACTACTGCTGCTGCTGCTTCATTTACTTTGCCATCTCTCTTCACTTGCATCTCTTTTTCTGAAACACTGAACAGCTACAACAACTTTCTACTGCTGCGGCTTTGATACAAGATTCTTACTGTTATTTTCTAAGGATGCTGCTACTGCTGCTGCTGCTGCCGCGGCTTGATACAGAATTATTGCTGTTATTATCTGAGGTTACTGCTGCTGCCGCTACTGCTACTGCTGCAACCCACTCTCTCAGAAGCTTATCCTGCTTCTAATGGACGCAGCCCGGCTGAGTATGCCGCGCTGCGCTGAACTCGCACCTATGCTCCCAGGGTTGCTTCGGCGGTCATGCTTCATCTCTCTACCTAATCTTCTGATTCTATCAGATGCAGCTGGCCGAGTAGCTGCGCTGTGCCGTCAATCGGACTCCTAATCAAAGGCATCCATACCTGTATTCTTCACTCTTCTGATCGCAGGCTCCCCATCACGCTGCCCATCCTGCAGCGGCTCTGAGCGGCACCGAACTCCGGCTCGTCTTCCAAGTACATGTCTGCCCTCCTCGCAGCATCTTCCTGCTTGCCTTCTATGGCTTCTCTGCATAAGCGTTTCACTACTGCTCACTCAACCTTCATGCGGTCCGAGACACGGCTTTCCCGACCATCCTACTATCCCGACCATCCTACTATCCTGATTATCTACTCTCCGACCCAAGATTCTAAGCGTAAGGGCGCCTGCAACATCAATGGCCCTCTTCGATATGTCTCTGCCCCTACAGGTCTCCGCTTCTACACGGACGTGCCCCTTCCGTGGGTTTTGGGGGGTTCTTCCAGGACCATTGGGTTGCCGGGCCGTGGCCGCTACCTTCCACCGGAGCATCTCCTCTGCCCTACACGAGATATTCCCAGTGGTCGTGGCCTGCGCGCCGTAGAATCACACGTGGCAGAGAAAGAGGATCTGTGTCATGCGGGATAATCTCGACGTAGTGGAAGCATCACACAAAGGTCGCTTTTTCACCCAACATAATGTCCCCTGACCATTTCAACCTCCATCTCAAAACATTCAAAGACCAAGGCGCCTGCAACATAATAATAACTCGCTCCGACACATCTCTCTGCCCCTACAGGTCCATGATGCGTTACACTCGCCTCCGCGGCAAAAAAGGAGATTTTAACGGACCTCTAATTCTCACTCCAGACAACCTTCCCATGACAGCAACCTGGTTCAGAGCTCAGCTAAGATCCCTACTGCTCCTCTGCAATTGTCTCCCCAGCTCCATACAGCCCACTCCTTCAGGATAGGCGCTGCCACGCGCGCGGCCTCGCTGGGGCTCCCCCACACCTCTCTGCAACAGCTGGGGCGCCGGCCCTCTTCGGCTTTCTCCGCCTACATCAGGCCAGACGCGTCCGCTATCCTGGCTGCACAACGTCTACTGGCTTCCTCGTAAGCTCCCAGCAAAGCAATACGAAGCAAAGTAAGTGAAGCAATAAGTTCTGGTGGCGGCACGCACTTTTCTCAAACACTCCCCGCTGCCGCAGCGTCTGACGGAACGTGATGCGAGCGCTCACGTTCCCA